AAAAATATCTGGAATACCGGATTATAACAAAATCACTCAACTAAAGAAAGATAATAGAATAATCACAGAAACCTAGAAATAGCAGAAGAATTTGCTAATCCATATAAAAGTAGATCTAATACAAGCTATTATATTAATAATTTTATTAACTTTAAACAGAACGAAGAATAGAATGTAATTATACCGTTTGTAGATGACACAGATGCTTTAAACTCAAATTTTAATATAAATGAATACAAAGATACATTAAACTCATTTAAAGAGACTAGCGAGGGTCCAGATAATATCCCAATGGTCTTTATTAAGCATTTACCTGAGAATGCAAACAATCATCTTCTTAACATATTTAATATTATTGGACAGAACAGAAATTTTCAACAGCGTTTAGATATTCTATTATAATACGAATATTAAAACCAAAATGTCCCAAAACAGATCCTGGATCTTATAAATCAATTGCACTAACATGTAGTGCAATTTTTAGACTCCCTTGCCGATTCATTCATCAAGCTGTTTGCTTCGCAAGTTTTAGGGAGCACGGCTGCTTATATTTGAATTCGATTTCGCCAGGTAGAAATCGTATGATTTCTCTTTTTGTTCTTAGATGGCGTAGTTACGTATATGCGGCTTGTTGCTGCTCTGTATTAAATCAAAATATAATACCGTCATTTTGTTTTGTTGTGAAATATTATTATTTCAGAACAGAGTGGTTTCCGACAAAATCAATCAACTTATCAAGCAGTGTACATAATGCCTTCTCCCTTAATAAAAAATGTATTGGAATATTCTTCGACATTGAAAGAGCCTTTGATACAGCTTGGCGCCACCGTATCATCAGATTACTGTAAGATTTAGAAATTAAAGGACACTGCCTTGAATTTATAAAAAACTCCTTTTATAAAAGGTATATGTAAGTTAGAGTAAATGATAACTTGTCGTCAAAACTGGAATTAGAAAATGAAATTCCTCAGGGCTCCGTTATAAGTTCTACGCTATTTATAATTACCATAAATTATGTTCTACGGAATTTAAAACTTCCACTTAAAGGCCGTTTATATGCTGACGATTTCGTAATATTTGGAAAAAGCAAAAACCTCTTACAACTTGCACAGAGTTTCTTGTTAAATATTAAAAAATGGTCACATTAAACTGGATTTATCTTTTCAACAACTAAAGCTAAATACATAGTATTTTCTAAAAACAAAGTCACTACACCAATCTCATTATATCTAGACAACCAATAACTACAACAAAAAGATTCGCTAAAATTCCTAGGAGTTACTTTTGACAGAAAGTTAAATTGGAAAGAACATATCAATAATCTAACATGTAAATGTTACAGAAGAGTAAATTAACTAAAAATTCTAGCACGCAAGAATTGGAGTTTAGACAGAAGTACATTGTTAATTATATCATCATTCCTCAACCTCTTGCATCCACTGTTGGATATAGGTCTCCTCCATGTTCTTCCACTGTTCTCTATCTTGCGCCTTCTGTATCCAATTTCCGACTGTTTTTCTCAAGTCGTCCATCCATCTTTTGGTGGTCTGCCTCGGTGTCTTTTGTCTTCTCTAGGTCTCCATTCTATGAGTCTTTTGGTCCACCTATTATCATTTAAACTTGCTATATGTCCAGTCCATCTTCATTTGGCTTGTGCAATTTTTTCTATGACATCTGTCACTTTAGTCCTCTCTCTCACTATCCTATTTGGTACCATATCTCTTCTAGCTATTCCCAACATTGCTTTTTCCATTTTTCTTTGGGTTACTCTCAATTTATTTGCAGAATGTTTGGTTAAAGTTATTGTTTCGGAACCATATGTTATTACTGACAGTATGCATTGGTTGTAAACCTTTTTCTTCAAGCAAATCGGTAGCGTTCCTTTTAGAATATCTCGCATCTTGCCAAATGCTGTCCATCCCAAGCCTATGCGACGCTGTATCTTACAAGTTAATTATATACATAACTATTATACAATCACAGCTAGACTACGCGGATATAGCTTACGATTCAGCATCGAAATCAGTAATTAAAAAGCTAGAAACTATTCACAACACAGCACTCAGAATATGGCTGGGAGCCTTTGGTATTAATAAAAATAATATTAAACATAATATTAATATTATTAAACATAAACAAAAATTAAGGATAATGCAAAACATCCTGTCCATAGAAATACTTTTACTGGTAATTTCCCAAACCCCAATGCAAATCGCCGTTCTGTTAAATCTTTCTATACAAGAATAAAAGACCATTTGCATATGTTTAATATTGTCATACCTGAATGTCTTCCATACACATATGGCCATAATCGACCTTGGATTCAAAACATACAATCATATAACTTTGAACTTGCATCATTTGACAAAAACTCCACGAATCATGATTTCATTATTTCTCATTTTAGAAAAATCCTTAGTCGTTGTAAACATCATACCCAGATATACACTGATGGTTCAAAATCATCCGAAGGTGTGGAAGTGGCTGTAGTAACTCCAGAGAAGGTCCTTAAATTCAAACTATCTAATGTTAGTACTATCTATACAGCTGAACTGTATGCTCTCTATTGCGTCATAGAACTAATTAATCTGGCAACAAACTGCAAATATATTATCTTAACAGACACACTTAGTGCCATACAAAGTATCCGACAACTGTATCCAAAAAAACCCGCTTTTAAAAAAATTAAAACGGTCCTTCTTCAGGCTTATATCAATCACAATGAGGTAAATTTGAGCTTGATCCCATTCCATATAGGAATAAAAGACAACGAAACTGCTGATCACAGTGCGAAAGACGCGATAGTGAATGACGTTTCCGAAATCGTAAACACATCGGTATCAACGGATTTAAAAGCTTGTATAAAAAATGAGACATGGAATGTGTTACCTACGTCAAGAAGCTAAGAAATTATAGTAACGCGGCTTAAGGCGCGTACAGACTAGCACACGCATGCGGTGAGAAGCCATGCATATGCGTGCGTACTCAAACCATTCGCGCTCAGAGCATTGGTTGAAATTACAAATCCCCGTATATGTATGCGTGCTCAAGGAGCTCCATCCATTCGTGAAAAAATGTCTGAGGAGCTGCTTATGATTAGTGCCGCGTTTGTGGTTATTAGTTCATTAAAAAAAAACAAAGGAAAAATAGGCGATGGTGGACGACGCATTTATTTAAAAGAATGAAGTCCGATTTACTAGTAGATTTGGCGTTAGAACCGAATACTAGACAAATTCAAAATTTTACAAGTATGTCAGTAGAAGACTTTGAATGCCTTTTAAGTGGTATAGGCCCCGTAATAAAGAAAAACGACACAGTCTTAAGAAAAGCCATACCTGTTAAGGAACGTTTAATGACAACATAATATAGGGTTTTCTTCATACAAATCTATTAATTGCAGACATTGTTCATTTGACCACTCCATTTTACACATAAATCAATAAAATAAATAAAACTCAATAAATCCGAACTTGTCTTGCAAATGCAACAAACCCCTACGCTATCCGTCTAAACTGAGAGCGAACGCACACGTATGTTTCTTTGATGTGTGCGAAAAAACCGACAACACTCTGGCTCGCAGCATGTGTGCTCAAGTCATTCGCGAGGAGCAACGCATGCGGCGAGAGGTTACGGAAGCGCCGCGCCGTCCTCATTTGCACACGTATGTGTCTTCGTGGCTGCTCACTGCATTCGTTTGTAGGTCTGTACGCGCCTTTAGACTCGGACATTCTAGGTTAACGCAGGATTACTTAATTAAAAAGTGCGAACCGCCGCGATGTGAAACGTGTAGTACGGCATTAACAATAATTCACATACTATGTGAATGTCCCCTCTACAATCAACAACGAAGTAACAACAAGATACCAGGAACACTTCTAGAAGCTTTAGGTGCAGACTGTAACTTTACCAATACTCTGAATTTCTTACTACTACTAAGGATTTCCACAGTTTTCACTGTCTTTCTTCACTCAACCGTTTTCCTCCAATTTTCCCTGTCATTCCAGTCTCCATCTCGCAGGTTATTTTCTCCATAGCCTCGTCGATTTCGTCTCTGAATGACCTTCGGGGTTTTCCTCTATTTTTTCTTCCGATTGGGCTCCATTCTGTGATTTTGTTTATCCAGCGTCCTCTGTCCACTCTTCTGACGTGGCCGTACCAGGATAGTCTCTTCTCCTCTATAAAGTCGATTATGTCTGATTGCACTCTCATTCTCCGCTTAATCTCTGCGTTTTTAATTCTGTCTCTTTTTGTAATTCTACAGCTTCTCCTCAGGAACTCCATTTCTACTGCTCTTATTCTACCTCTATTTCTCTTATTTATTCTCCAGTTTTCGGACCCATATGTCAGGATACTTCTTGTCAGGGTATTATATATTCTCTTTTTGTCTTTATCGTAATGTTCTTATCCCACAGCACTGAATTTAGTTGTCTTATACAGTTTCTTGTTTGTTTTAGTCTGTTGTTTACATCTTCTTCTGTTGTTCCCTGGTTCGATATTATGGTTCCTAAATACTTGAATTTATCAGTTCCATTTACTTGTCTTCCCTCGTCTATCTCTAGGTTTCTCATATCCTTGTTTTCTGTTGTTATGTATTCGGTTTTCTCTAAGTTTATTTTCATTCCGTTGTTTTGTATTCTTCTTCTATTTTTCTGAGCATAAAGCTGAGATCTTGGGCGATGACTACTTGATCGTCAGCAAAATTTTCTCTGACAAAATACTCTGAATTTCTTGAAAGACATTAATAAGTACCACCATATTTAATAAACCAAATTGTAATGCAGTAATTGTACCCAATATAAACCATTTATTTTGCGCTAATGGCCATTTGATCGATGCGATTTTCAAAATAAAAAAAACTGTGATGACATACGAAAAATCTACGGTTTACACAATACTTTGTTTCCCTTCCATGACACTCAACTGTCATTTGCAACAACTATCAACCAGGAAACTAATTTTATATAATCGATGGCTTTTATATTTGACAGTGACTTACAACTGACTACAGATCAAATCATGTCAGTTCACACATAACTTTTCATCTTCTAAATTTTAAGTAATCAACCCATTTATACCATTCATGGCAAAAGCACAAATCAGGCAGTCTGTTGGAATTGATCTAGGAACTACTTATTCATGTGTAGGAGTCTTCAGAAACGGTAAATATTTTAATATTGAAAGAATATTATAATGTTGCAAATATAACATTAATTGGAGAAGGCAGAAAAGAAAATAAGTGTAATATAGCAGTTATTTTTAATTCTTAAACTGTGTATAACAAGCCAAAATATTTGCTAGTTGAAATAAATATCGAAAACATATATTTTAACCATTATCATTAGCTCGACAACTGCTTGTGGGTCTTAGCTCCAATTGCATATCTTTAGACTTTTCAGACCTTGTTGTACTTGTTCCATATATCTAATTTTGGGTCTTCCTTTTGATCGTCTTTCTACTGCCACCTGCTTTATTATTTTCTTTTATCAACAATTTTTATTAATAATCGTTAAGTATGTATTGTTGTTTCCATATTTTTAGGTGCAGTAGATATAATAGCTAACGATCAAGGAAACAGAACCACGCCAAGTTATGTCGGCTTTACTGAAATAGAAAGACTTGTGGGAGACGCTGCCAAAAATCAAACAGCGATCAACCCCACAAATACAGTATATGATGCTAAAAGAATTATTGGTAAGGTTGTATTGAATCAACCACTTAATTTTTTTTTAACATTTTTTCCTTTATTTTTTATTTAATGTTTTCGCAGTCTTGCCTCTTTCTGCATATAGTAAAAGCCATCGCAAAAAACATCATTAAAGCAGACTTTTGAATAACCCTTCCTTAGGCTCATGATATCATGGTTACACTAACACAAGGAATTCATAATAAATATATATAAGTACTACAAAAAATTGCTCTGCACGCTAGCGATGTCTATTTGACCGAGAATTTTAATGTAACTGTAGTGCCTTCTAGGTGAATATGACTTGAACGGAAAGTATTACAAAATCCTCTATGGCAGGGAACGTAATAAAAATCACGTAGTTAAGTCCAGGCATTAATCCATTTCTCGGTCAGATAGCCAAGCGGGCTAGGCGGCCGATTCTCATTCGCTTTACTGTCAAATGCTTCGGTGGATGTGGGTTCAAGTCCCAGTTCGGTGTACAGAAAATAAAAAGGCTAACGCAGCAGTTTAAAATTCTAGATGAATCTAAATTCATGTTTTTACGTTTATGCATGTTCTGTCAGCGCACATACATTTATTTTTTTGGTTTTTATGTCGCTGCGATTTGAGATCACCCTACTGTGAAAATTACAAGATGGTTCTCCAACATACACGTTTTTACAATTGGCGCACGGTACAGAATAAACAACATTTGATGACTGCTGTATTGTAAAAGGATTCTTTGTCTTTGTGTACAACTTCGATACCGTTCTCACATTCTTAGTTGCAATTTTTAAGCCACTAACATTTTTAAAAATGTTCATTATCTTAGGTGTCAGAACTGGAATATGGGGTAGGCAACCATATGTTATTTTAGATTGTGGTAGCTCTGATGTGTTGTGTGTCAATGTCGGTGTCAGTTGTCGGACCTCATTATTATGAAAATTTTGGTTGTCAGAAAATTGAAAAGAAAAATGAGAACCAAAAATGAATTTATTTAAAGGCCCTATGGGATAGGAGTTCTCTTGTAGTACAGATCTTAACTTATTTAGTCCCTTGTCACTGAACTCGATGTGTGATAAGTTGATAACCCTAGTTTTGAGGGCCAAAACCAAATTTGTTTTCATCTTAGATGGATGTTGAGAATAAAAGTTTATGAAACGGCTACTAAAGCAAGGTTTACGATACCACTCGGTCCTTAGCATGACATCACTGCCACGATGTATAAGCCTGTCTAAAAAAGGAATCATATTATCAGCCTCTCCCTTAACCGAAAACTTTAAAACATCAGTTACTTTGTTTTCCCGGACCGATAAAATCAAATCATTTACATATCGTTTGATAAAAGGTATGTGAAAAGGTATCTTTTCTTTACACGTTCTTATAAGTTCATCCAAAACAAAATGACATAGTATGGGGATTATTTTGCTGCCTATTGAAGTGCCAAAGATTTGTTTGAAAAAATTACCATTGAACAAAAAGATGTTAGAGTCAAAATAAATGTTAAAATTCTTATAAAATCATCTAAACTGATCTTGGTATGCAAAGTGATGCCATTCCAGTTATTTTTAATACTGTTGAGAATAGCATCTAGTGATAGGTTTGTAAATAGTGACACAACATCTAAACTAATCAATATATAATTAATCGGAACTTTAATATTATTAATGAAGTTATTAAACGTGAAAGAATCTCTCATTGGATTCTTTGTAGGAAGTTGTAAGGATATCTGTAAGATGTTTAGCAAGTTTACTACTAAGACCATCAATGGAAGAGACAATAAGCCTCATTGAAACAGTGAGTTTGTGAACTTTAGGCAGTGTATACAATCTGGGTGCAACTGCATTGTAAATTTTCAAAGATTTTGCAACTTCTGTTGTTATGGATTTGGAAGAAGATAAATCCGAAACCAGCTTGTTCGCCTTTTCTTGGAGGGTGCACACCGGACTATTCTTCAGTTTGATGTAACTTTTTGTGTCATTTAGTAAACAATTGCATTTTTCAATGTAATCATTGCCACTGTTACATTTCCGTTGTCACTTCTAATAATGTAAATTTTTGGATGTGATTTTAAAAATTGTTTGCACTCATTGTATATTGTGTTCAAAAAGTGTCCTTCTTTACTTGTTTTGTATAGAAAGTTAGTGATAACATTAGTGCTTTGAGATCTTATAATGTCCTTTTCTTGGGGTTCTAGACCAGAAATAAGAAACTCGATATCTTAGAGAAGAGAAGACATTTTAAAATCTCTAGCACTAAGAAATAGGCAAAATTTTGGACCCAAAGATAAAAGTTTTTTGACATTATAAGGAAAAGTGATGTTAGTTAGATTTTTGAACCATTTTTCTTGGAATGTTATTTTTGAAAATTAATCTACTTTTATTTTGTTAAATTTATTGATGTTGTTATTTCTAATTTGGAAAAATACTTTATTGTATTTGATTTTTTTGTCTTCTATTCGCTCCGTGCGTGACCATGGTAGGGGTACATTGAAACGATGCCAGCGTGCGGAGCGGCGAAATATGACAAAATTGGAATATTGGACAAAATATTTTTACGCATAAGTTTTATTAAAAAATGTGTGCAAATACATGTTGCGTATTTAATTCTGCTAATAATAGCAAAAACAGTGAGTGTAGTTTTTATAGTTCCCAAAGATTACAAATAAATTAGGGAAAAGAAAAAGATGAATTCGTGCTATTAATATGAAAAAGTAAATATCACATAATTTCATTTTTATGCAATTGAAATAGGAAAAATTTAAATAATTTACCTTCAATGATATTTCATAAGGCTTCAATCTAACTGCAGATGACTTTAGCTTTTATATCATAACTTTTACTATTATTGTTTTTAATTATATGCTCTTTTGCGTGAAAAACTTGATTTGCCAGTACTAGATTTTTCCCTTTCTTTTCCATTTGGAGTTGAAAAGATATATTATGATGAATTTTGAGAAACTCAGTTTTTTAATACTACATTTATTTTGTACATAAACTGAAAAAATATAGTTAAAAAACTAATTTATTAATAATTGTCAATTTCGCATGTATTTAACAATGTCAAACATATGTCATATATTTAACCTGAAAATTGGGACTCCAAAATTGTCAGATGAAGGCGGTAGGTGTCGCATCAGTCACGCACGGAGCGAATAGAATTCTTGTAGTAAAGGAGCAGGTAAATGCTGCTCTCATATATTTTTTAATTAATGTACCTTCTTTTCTATGTAATTAATATCATTTATTGTTACTGAAATTTCTAAGTTAACTTAAATTAAATTTTTTAATTAATTAATTTAACTTAAGTTAAATTTTTTCATTGGCTAATTACAGTTGATGCAATATTGTAAGAAACCTTTTTTTATCTATGTTACTATTCATATCATACAGTATTACTTAAGAAATAACACTAACAAAACATAGACGTGCAGAGTAGTACAGTGTATCTACACAGTTGATGCAAACACTGTGTTTTCTCGCGAATCGCCGATATAATAGGGACCGAAGCACGAAGCCTTTCAAAATTGGAGATTGATGGTGCAAAAGCGTCAAGGGAGAGCCGGCGTAAGCAACTCAAAGTAGAAACTGTTATCAAGGGTTTTCCTTGCCGTTAGTCCGTAGCTTCGAAATAATGTTTTTATATGCAAAAAAAACTAAGTTAATAAGTGAATTAAAAAGTTTTAACAATGTAATTAAGTGATTTTGGATGTATAGAATTATAGTAGATGCTGAAAATGAGTTATTAGCGGTTGGCAAAGAAGTATAATTTCAAAAATGATTGTAAATAGGTGTAAAATGCAGCTGGATTAAGAAAAAAATACAAGATAATAAATATTAATTGAAAAGCGTTCTACTAATATTTTTTTGGTAGATAAACTTCCAACTGTTTACTTAAGTTAACCTTCGGCCAGGCGCGTCCTAAATTATTACATCATCAGGCGCGCCGCAGTAATTTGCTGCCATGTAGTTTCTTATTGTTTTCGACACTTTTAATTATTGATTAACTGTATCGTTATTTATTTTGTCAAAAAATAAGAACGCTTTATTAATTTAACTAATTTTAATAAATTGTCCAGAAAAAAACTTTTAATTTATTTGATCATTACAATTAATACATACAATATTAGATTTAGAATGTCTTTTACAAGTGAACATTGTGTACATTTCATAGAGGTATACCACTTCACTGTAACAATTGCAGCATCTACCACTTTTAGCAATATTTTCGTCTTCTGGTTGCTTCGGAAACATCCTGGACAGGAACTCGGTTATATCACGTGGAAGTGTTTTAATTTGTGATCGTGTATGAAGGTATTCTTTCATCAAGTTCATTGCAAGGTTTTTGGGAAAATGTCACCTTTTGAGTAGTTTTCCAGAATTTGCAGCAGAATGTAGAACAAAAGCATTTATACCTCCAATATTCATTAAATTATAGAACATAACACACGGCCATCTTTTAGTAATTCGTGAAATACTGTATGATAAACATAATTTATCCACAGTATCAACTCCTCCTTTTGTTTTATTGTAATCTAAAATCAACTTTGGTTTCTTAGTATCCATGTCAACTATACTTTCGTTGTGCATAGACGATAATCATATGACTGACTTACTTTTACCCGGCACGTAAGAGGTAATCATATAATCTTTTTGAAATTGCTATCTAAATTGCTAAATCTAATAATTGCTTGATTTTTAACTTTTCTTCACAGTTGTTACATCTTGGTTCTTGTTCGGTGGAAAACACATGGCTATTAGTTAATCGCGTTAATATTATCTGGTCTCTCCGACTTGTTGGTAATGTGGGCCAAGGTTTTATCGATTTTTTACTATCACATAGCTTGGCTGAAGATACTTTCCCACATATAACGCACTGTACATTTGATCGCTGCATTCACGTCCGCACTCGTAAATGTTTCAGTTCACTCTGCATCATCACTACTTGCAGCTTCTTTTGTAGCGTTGTCTGATTCTTCTACACTTAAGTTAAACATAACATTCTTATGGAATGTGTAAAGAGGCAA